ACCACATCCCGTTCGACTGTGGGTATACCGGTATCTCGAACGGGTAGTCTTTCTGTGTGTGTACTTATTTTTTCTAAGAACTTGCATAAATAGGGGTACACCCCAAGGAGGTCCGGACCCCCCAGCCCGGGGGGGGGGGGGGGGGCACTCACTTGGTTGGTGCAAATGGATGCTGAGTAGACGTAGTTGGCGATGCACTGCTGGAAACCGTCCGTATTCGAGCTCGCGGTCTCCCTGCATGCAGAGCACACGGTATCCTGCCGGAAGGAGCGCCACGGTCACCCGCCAAGGAGTCGGGGGAGGGGAGGGAGGGGGGGGGGGCACACCCACGAAAAACATTCGTCAGTTGCTCATGGAACCGCGTACACCAATGTGTGATTCGATGCAGGAACATGCTCCACGAAAACACGGGCGACGCCGATCGGAATGTTTTCGTGATACACGTGAAGTTTACACGGGACACGGTGGAGAAAATCAGCGCACCGAGATGTTGTCTTCGAAGCAGCGCCGTGAGCGTGAGGAAACGTAGAAGCACTTCTGCTCTGCTAGACTTTTAATGACACGGAAGAGCAGGTCAAAGCTTGATCGAACGTTCGCTGAGATAGAACCTACCGCCATAGCACGACGCCTACCTGGGCAAACACGTCCACGTCACTAACAACCATATTGCCATGGCATCTTCTGAAAAAGAAACAGAAAACGGACCGCACGGGCGGTAGAAATGGACCGGAAGGTGACCGTTGAAATGCTTACCTCGGCACAAGCAAGGTTGCTGTCCTCGCACACGTCCACGGCACTGGATGTCGTTGTCGTTGTCGCTGCCGCCACCAGCGTACGCTGCGGCGCCTGCACGATCGCGGCAGCCGCCAAGACCAGGACTGTCATGAACCGAGGGAGCGAGCTAAGCGCCATGATGACTCCTTTTCCGTGGCTTTACGTGTGCCCTGGTGATATAACGAAGGTGAGGGAGCGTTTGTGACGATGGCAATGAGAGACGATCGCCGGGTGTGGGTACGGCGGTGCCACTGTGAGCGAAGCAGCAGCTGTTAATGGAGCGACGTTAACGTTATCATGTGTTGACGAGAGCACTGCTGTTGTCGCATCGCCGCGGCCGTGTCTTGAGGTGCACCCCTGATGCTCCTGTGAAAAACCTGCCCCAACCCTCCCACCCCCGCCGGAAAAGGGGGCTATGCAGGTGGCCGGCCATGGAGGAGGGAACAAGGAACGCCCTCGAAGATACATGTGCGTGCGTGTTGTGCTGTCGTATTGTCGCCTTGCCATGTATTCCGGTGTTGGAGGATCATCAGGGGGGCTGTTCAGCTTCTGCAAGAAGAATCCAATCCGCAATGACAAATCCTATAATACAGCTGGTTGGTAGGAAGGAGACTTCCGCATTCCACGCGGAGTCGAAGTATGCACGCCAGCATGGATCCAGACTTTTTGGCCAACGCGTAAAAAACATGGGAGGGCTTGAGTTTCACGGGAATTTCGTGATGGAGTCTGCAAGACATTTCTAAGTTCAATTAGGTAGGGCAGAATAGGTGCAACATGCATTCACAGAGCGAGAGTTTCATGTTCGTGACGATATGGAGGTCAGACACACGCGGGATTGACTATTCAACGTCACCACGCGCATGCTGCCCCTCCCGATCCCGCTCGACAACAGATGCACCACCCTGCAGCGGTACTGCCATCAACCCCCCGTGTTTCTGTCTGTGTTTCTTTGATGAGCACCAACAGCGCTAACCGACTGACCAATACACAGACTGCAGTCTTTTCGCGGGTAAACACCGCCAACACGATTATGTAGGACCGGGTGTGACAGAAGATACCATACCCCCTTGTGGGTCGATTTTCAAAACCCATCACTCCAAATAGTAATGTTGGATATCATATCGAACAATTCTATATGTCGTATCGTACAATCGATATTGGGTATCGATGAAATTTCGTCTTGTCGATATCTCGATATCGATGCGATAAACCGATAAACACTCCACGGAACCCCCGATTGAAACTTGGCGCTTCGCGGTCGTTATCGTGTCGAATCGACGAATTCAATCAATATCCAACAATATTCCATAGCACCGAAGAGTGGCGAAATGGTGGCGTCCGAACCGTCTCGTTTAGTTTGATAACAAGTTAACAATCTTCATCGAGTAACGGAACTTTGAAAACTGGCCCCATAACCTACGTTGCATTCGGTTTCGTATCTATAGTATCTACATCGTACATCTCGTAGACCGTACCTATCATGTTATATATATACTCACAGGATGGCAGTCGTGTCGTGACACATTTATTACTAAATAAGGTAGCTTGATTTTTTTTTTTGTGGACGTGGTGGGCAAGACCGAACATTGGCGTGTCTTGGCGGCATCGGCTGCATGAGATGCCTTCGGCGACCGGGCGAAGGGTACTTCAATCCGACGCCACCAGGCCAAGTGAAACACTGCTGCTGTAGACAAGTCCTAGCGCATGCACTCTTGAACATGTTTTGTTTGGTGTTGTTTCAGATTCAAAATCGGCCATCATCAATCACAGAGTGTTCTACTGTACAGCCGTAGACTGTTGTACATCATCTAGATACTACTGCTGAACATTGCTGCTGTGGCGTGCAGTGATGTTCTCCAACAAGACGTGTTTCTTTCGCGCTCAACAAGGACATGCGGCCCTGCGTCAACCGTGGCATGCATCTGTTGCTGCTACCGAACTACAGTAGAGGACACCGAATACATATGATGATGTATATCTCCTGTGCTTGCTGCTACTCACACCGATTGTTGTGTGAAACGTGGTGAAAGACCGAAAACTATGACGACTCTTTGCGACGTCGGCTGCACGAGATACCTCCTGCGACCGGGTGAAGGTCACTGTGACGCCGCCGGGCCAAGTGAAACACTGCTGCTGTAGACAAGTCTTAGCACAAGCACACGCAGTGATGAACGTGTTTGTTTGTGGTGTGGTGTTTCGCGGATTCACATTCGGTTCTCAATCTGCCATCTCATCATTCACAAAGTGCTCTTGCTGTAGACTCTACATCATCATCCAGAATCTGGTGAACATTGCTGCCGTAGCGTGCAGTGACTCTGCGCTCAACGATGACACGCGACCATGCCTCAACCTGTGGCGTGCGACGAACACGTACGTGTGTCTACCGCTATGACCATCTCAACCACCATCATCGGACAAAGAATCCCGAAACAGCACCAAGACACCAAGCGTTGATTTGTGATGGAAAAAATCTGAATCAACACGAACTTGATAGCATTGATTGGTGATGGGTGGACAAACCTCTGCACGCATAAGAATCACAGACACATTCGTATTGTTCGCTCTGCCCGTCGGAGATAGATGTGAGTACGGGTGTGGGTGGGGTCCTGAGAAAGGAAAATGGCGAAAAACGTGTCTAAGTAGTAAGTGGAGGAGTGAGTGAAGTTGTACCGGTGTAGAAGAGATCAGTATCGGAGTTAGTTTGCTCACGGGATGATGAGCTCATCATCCCCTGTGTTTGGGAGTTTTCCTTTGATCGCCTCTTATCCCGTCCGAGCATGATAAAATGGATATATATGCAACGAATCGATTTCTAAGCGTCTAAACGACAACCGGCCTTCCTTATATTCCCGGATTTCCCAACTAACTGTGAAAAGAAGGACTCGTCCTCGACAGAGGTTGGGGAGATATAATAGTACCTTTCTTCATGAAGGGTGGTCTCCACATTACTCCCCCCTCTTCGAGACTTCTTCTTGTTTGCTAGGCAAGAGAAGTCTTCCATACGGTAACCGGAACCCGACCGGCTGGCGGCGGGGCGGTTCACTTCTTCACAATCCTCTGTGATTTACACGGATTCGCTACGTCCGCCAGCTCGCCCGCCACAACCACCACTCGCACGGACGGATACGACACTGCCGCAAATCTCATCCACACATACAGGGCCACCGGTGACAACGGCCCCTTTCCTTTTCTCGCTTTCATACGGCATCGTCTTTTTTTTTTTCCCATTCCATCTTCAAAATAATTCCCACCCCCGTCTTCCGTCCGATTCACGTTTTGTGATCGGGTATCGACCATTCCACGAAAAAATCCCTTTCGTTTTCATCGTATTTTGCACAACACCGATCGATCTACGCAACGGACGGACGTGCGTATCGACCTCACACCGTCTACCTAACTAAGCCGACTTCGAGTACGCTTTTTCCGAAGCGATGTCACCATCGCGTTTACTTCCTCTGCTTATCGAACCGCCGCATCCATCCCACGCATGCCGGCCGCCCGCCCCATTGGGGGGCGGGGGGCCAATCGCTCCCCCTAGTATATACTACAAGCAGCAGTATAACACAACATAACATATATGTCCGTCTATCGTAGACAAGGGTCTAGATAATTGGTAACGAATTTTCCAAGTACATTCTTGTGTCGGAGGGTTAACGTTCCCTCGCAGCTCGACAGGACAGGAGGGACAGGAAGGTCTAGGGAGAGATCGGACGGCAGCAATGTCCACAGCGGTCTCCGCACCCACAATCCTTGTAAAAGGTGAAAGGAGAAAATACACAACAACACCGAACACCCAGCGTTCCTCTTACGGCAAGGCAACTAAATACTGCTGTGGATAGTACACACACAGAAAAGACTACTGCTGTATGCATATTATGCATATGCATTCTCCTTCTTGCGGAGAGATGAAACATCACAGCCATCGTGTTACTACTCTGTACCATCATGTGTCATATGTCAGGTTGCAAATTGTAGCTCTCGGCGTTTTCGACACAACAGCAAGTAAACCACACGGGAGGGAGGTGTTGCCGTGTCTACCTTATCCCTGCTGCAGCGCTTCCTTTCATGTTCATTCGTATGCATATGCGCAGACTATCGCGAGAAGGACTCAGTCTTCCTTTCTCATCGCCTGTCGTATGCTAGAATATGTATGCTATTAATACGAACAAGTAGAGAAGATGCAAGATGGGAGAAAAAAGGTGTGTCATGATTAAGAAAAAAAAAAAAAAGATCCAAGTCGCCGAGATTCGAACCCTATGCTCTTGTCCCCAAAAGCCAGAAAATGCGAGGTTATTACCACCGGAGCGATACCCACCGCAGGTGTATACCTATGTAATCCAACAAGTAGAGTCTATCTCACTAAGGTCCGTCCTGCCATGTAGCAAGCACCGCGTGTCCCTCTGTTTCGTGCCAACGTCACAACGCCACAAAAAGAAGAAACCTGATTGTAAAAATTGTGGTTTGGTGTGCGCGCGTGTGCGCCACATTTTAAAAAAATTGGCACGTATCCCCCTAATTTCATCATGTGGCGTCTGCTGCTTCACATCAACAACACCCGAGAGAAAACATGACATGTGTGTAGGTAGATCGGCGTCGATATTTGTAGGCGACAGGTAATCACAAGCTTGACCCAGAGGGGCGCCGGCGGGCGTACTACTTCCCTCGCTTCCTCTTGCACACTTCACTCTGCCCAGATTATGTATGCATAGAAGAATAGTATTCCGACCGCATGAGACCACCTGCTGCAGGGCTACTGCCGAAAGGTGATGATTGGCTCTTCTTTGTCTCTTTGGAAAGCAGCACCAGCACCAGCACACGGCCGGGGTTCCTGCTGCTGAGGTCTCGACAAGAAGAAGTGCGGTAGGCCGCACAACTTGCGGTTTGGTGTTCATATGTGGCCATGCTGTTGGCGAGCGAACCGCTAGCTGTGGAAGAACGGGAAAGCAGGCGCCAGCCATCACACAAAGCGGGCAACGAGCGCCGCCTGTTCGTCCGTTCTCTCTGGGATTTTTGTCATCAGAGGAAGAAGATAAAGAAGAGGCGCAGGTGCGCTCACCTTGTGTGTCGTGGACTCCAGGAGGGGACCGTAGCAACAAGAGCTTTTCTCTTTTCGCTGCAGTATGCACCTTCAGCAAGCGGAGCTGTCTTCCCGGTAGCTAGCGGTTAGGGCTGTCACGCTGTTACGGCAGAAATGATGAACGGACGGATGAACGGCGTTGTTCGTGGCGCGGTGCAACTGGGGAGGGGTTTCGCTGTTTGGCGCATGTTTTGTTTGCCGTCATCAGCAACTTGAATCGTGTTCCGCTTCTGATCGGCAGCGGTGGTACCAAAGGTACATGTTGTAGGTGACATGTTGACATCATAACCGCGCCAACCGGCTGACAAACGCAAACACGCGGTGTTGCAATGGAAAATGGTGCAGCCGGTAATGTAAATTGTGCGCGTGCGTGCTGCCGAAAAGTCTGGGTGAGACAACATGGGAACTCCTTCCTGCAGTCGAAACATATCAGCCCAGCAGAGGACATACTTCGTCGGTTCGTCGAAGATCTGCTTATTACTGCTGTGCTGGCAGGCCTACTACTGGTACATGCCCCTCTCAACTTGTCCCTTTTTGGCCGCATTCGCGACTATCGGGCATGTACGATGTACCCGGACCAGTATCAAAATATTGATGAGAAGGATTGATTGGCTACTCTCGGGCCGTCGGCGAACAGGCACCTTCCGTGTAACGGCGGCGAAATATTCTAAATCGACCAAACACCCGCGCGCTCGGTGAGCATCGTGCCACTGCACTGTATTCTTGGGGCTGCGCGTATGTGTGAATTGCCGTGTGTCTAAATCATCAGAGGGCAGTCGACAAATTTGCTCCAGCACACTACCGCACACGTGAAACACTGGATATCTTTTCCGGGCTGGTTGGGTGTGTGAGCAGCGGAGTCGTGACATACCAAGGCACCCAGCCGGCTCTATCGTCGTCACACATCGTACCTATATCTGAGGATACCAATCGACCCCGACGCGTCCTCGACAGCCCACACTGACTCAGCGGGGCACCTACCTCGGGCCTAGCAGTCATGGGGGCAGGGGCATCGATTCCGGGGGGGGTAGATCCGGCACTGTCTGACGCGGGAAAGGCTGCACTACTCACACATCTTCAGGTATGTGATGAAAGCCAAACTCGCATAGTCTACAGCAGTACGTGTACATTTGTATGTATGTAGGCGAATAACAAGTACCAACACGCTTGCCTACATGTGTAGTCTTAAGTGTAAGCCGGTGGAACTTGCTTGTTTATTATTGCAAAAAAAGAGCGGTTAATTTAGGACTCATGTGTTACTCGAAGTCTACTTTTTTAATTGTTGCATGCAGAGTGTACATACGATACCTAGATCTAGTTCTTCTGCGAGCGTGGAGTACTCCATGCGAATATCAGACACGGCCGATACAGTTAGCGCCAGCAATTAAGAAATATTTTTTTAATAAGTAGAGGCTCACTTTTCCACGAAAAATAAGAGAATAGGGTTAAGAAACATGGCTCAGTCTGGGTCACACAATAAGAAATGTCTCAATAGGAAGCATCGGCGACCGCTGCCCTACTACATAAGAAACGAGGTGTTACGGGAGAGTGGGTCGAATAAGAACCACCCCACAGCTCCTCCTATCTCTCGCTATTTCCCCCCTCTCTCGCTACCCCCCCCCTCCCAAGTGCATTATTAGTTTTGTACGACGAGGGGGGAGTGAGTGTGTTTTTTTTGCGGCGCCCCCTCCGGCCCCCGGCCGGCTCTGGCTCTCTGGCGCTCCGGCTCTGGCACAGCACGCCAGACAGGCTGCGAACCACGATATGCCGTCTGCTGTACGGTTCTGATGGTGCTCTCCGCCAGCTCTCGTGAGCAGGAAAGAAAATAAATTGCCGATTTAAGAAATGCAGCAAGCTTTGGCGGCACGAAAAAATAAGAAAAAAAAAACACAAGTAATTGAATGACATACGCTGAGTTTATATAGCCCACAATAAGAATTCGAGGCTGGACCTGAAATAAGCGTTTCTTAATTGCGGGCGCTAACTGTACAAAAACTCACGCCGCAATCAGGAACGGACGCTGGTGAATCTCGTCTTTAGTGGTAGATGTGCCACCGACCAAGCATGCATGTACTCCGCGGTTGCTACGGCAAAGAAGAGACGCGGACGACATTCTAAGCGACGAACTACAGCGTAGAACATATCAGTCTATATGGCTTCCAAACCCCCGGGTGCTTGTATATACATTGGTGGGAGTTCACGTGGGACGTTCCACGCGTCCCACGCGTCCCATGGGCCATCTCACGCCGTCCCAAGCGTCCCATAGGTCGTCCATCCCACACCAACCCTAACCCTAACCCCAAACCCAAGTCGTCCCATTGGCCGCCCCACGCCATCCCACGCTGCCCGTGAGCATCCCATGGGTCGCGTGGGACGGCCCATGGGAAACGTGTGGGATGCCCGTGAAACGTCAATGAAATGTCACGCGTCGATGTAGGAGAGAGAGTAACTGGTAGCCAAGCAACCTTGATATCTACGCGGCTTTAAGGCCTGGCTCAAGCGGGCGGTCGTCCTTTAATTCAACGTTTCTGTCGAAACGTGGCAAGGGAGCTCCGCCGCGAAAGATCGAGGCAAAATCTCGAAACAGCGTTAAGTCTCCTTGCTTGTTAACGTCATGTTTTCAGAACGCTCCGAACGCTTGATCCGAAACAGCTGAAACACGTCAGTCGTCGATGACAATAAGCAAACTACTAGATTCGTAAAGGGTAGACTATACCCTTACCCATCACATGGAGACGTTAAATCGCATACTCTCTGTCGGATACAGGCAGAGTACGTCGCGAAGGCGTCAGGGGAAGGCGCGGACGACAAGAGCATCCTGGACTCCCTCAAGCAAAGCTATACAACCAAGGTCAAGGAGCTAGAGGAAGCGGAGGTACGTGGCGCGGTCTTGTGGTATTTCTGTTCACACCATCAAAAGAAAGGCTTCGGGCAGCACGCTCGTTGTTCTTGCACTTTCACGAAACGTTGCCATCCCCAAAACAGGCCATGCTGTATCGAAAAGCGGGAGAACGACGAAAAGGAAGGGGCCATCACACACTATATAGGTAGTCGAACCAGTCAAATGCCCAAAGGGCAAAGGTGTTGAACGGCCGACATCGCTGGGTATGCCTGAAAGGCTCAAAGTGTCACGATAAATTGTCTAGCTCCGCAAGTCTGGGATTCATCTCGTCCAGAATTGCACGGCTGCTCTGTTTACCACCGCATGGCAGTGGAACGAAGGTTGAGATATGGCAGAAGTTTCGAGGAGAAAAACCCATCCGCTTCATGATCTTGATGTCCAGAGCGACAGGTGGAACTAGTGGGAGACCACCTCTCTACATACGCCAGTAGTCGCCACGTACAGGCAATTGCGTGTGGCCGTTAAAAATGAGTGTTCCGATATATCTATCGCACATCGGGAAGTCGAAAAGATGAAGGCGCCCCGTGCCTTTCCTTCAGATAGATGACCTCGCGACAGAGGACTCAACCTGGTTGTCGTCGAGTGTCCCAGTTGCTGCCATCCCATTCCTCAAGCGCTGGCAAACCAAGTGAATAACATACTGCGAAACGGTGTTTTCTTGGTCAATATCAGAGAAAAGGTAGGCAATTAGTGTCTGGGTTTTATTCAAAGAGGCGACCACAGCAACAACGGGGACGTCGACGACGGCGACGACATCATCCACAATACCAGCAACAGCACCTGCAGCAACGCCAGCACCAGCGGTAACAACATAGCAGTAGCCTCTTACTGACGTCGTTGCCGAAGCCTCCGCGCCCCTTCTGCTCTGCGAGCCCCAACCCCGCACGCTGTGTCCCTCGGCGCTTCTCTCATTGACTTGCCTCGGACACGGGCTATTTTTTTTGTGTTCTTGCGGGATCAGAAGAATGGCAGCGATGCGTCCGACACGGAAATCGCGGCAACGGCCGCAGCGTTCTCGGAGAAGTTTGGCGGTGGCGGAGCAGAACCTGTGGCCGGTGGCAAGACATCGGAGTTCAGGTGAGGAGTGCTGTTTTAGAGGGAGGGAATGAGATACTCTGAAATGGCGTTTCAGCTTCGACCCGGTCACGTGTGTCATGACAATTGCGGGACTGCAACACTCACGCTCATTGGTTAAAAGGCAAGTGTTCAGCGTGCGAAGACCGGATGCAACCTAGTGCGAGCACAGTAGTCCGACGGCGAGCGGTGATGTAATTTGCCAATCGTGTGAGATCAAACGACCCCTTGGTCGATCTGAAAACACTCAAAGTTGAAAGACTCAATCAAAGTCACCAAAGGTACTTTGATACTTCGAAAGTATATCGTAGTTCAACGCGCGAGCATGTTGGCATGCGCCTTCCGCAGGTCTGTGCCACAGCGGGATTAGCCGAAGCGAATTCCCGCTCTAGTCTATTCGTGAATCACGATCGGGTATGGGACGGGATTGCGAGTACAGTACAGCCATCCCCGACAGAGGGTGGTGTGGGCGAATAGCGCGTGAGACGACCACGATTGCGGTGCCTCACCACGCACGGAGAGAGTTAAATTGGTACGGTGATAGTTGGATGGATGAGCACGGCGGTGTCATGCGGAAACACGACGACGACAACAACGACGACGACGACGACGACGACGACGACGACGACGACAACGACTGTAGTGGTCTTATCCATTAATCAAGTATTTCAACCTGCAGCAGTTTTTGATCAACCCTTTGCTTTCTGGGAAAGTCTGTACCCACAAGCGCTTGTCTAGAGCGGCGGTTAGAGCCGGGTGTCCATCGAAGCTGGGCAACATCGACACGCGTCAAAATGCAAATCTCGACAGGACATAGGATCTCAAAATCCTCTTAGTGATTATGGAGTCTAGCTGTTGTTTTCAAACCACGTGGGAAAATTGTGTTCTCCGGTGCGCGGAGAGGTCTCGATCGCAACAGAGGCCTCGGGCTCGATGGAACTGTGTGTACGAATGGAGGGAAGCAAACCGGCCCTAGCGTACGACAAAGATGCTGATAAGAAGGCCCTCAAGAGAGTCTTGCACCCGGGTCTGATGCCTGATTACGTGCAGTTTGGCCGCCGAGGAGCCTGGCAGGATGACGTGGAGCTAGCGCCGATTTCCTTCAGCCGTTGAATGGGGAATGGTCTCATATTTAGAGTTCGCTGTATTTGGGACAGCTTGGCACCACAACGTTAAGTTCTCTGTTTTGAGGGTCGTCAGCGAAGTTGTGGAAGTGTATCGGTTGGAGGTAAGGATGATCGTTCTACTGTAATGAAAACAAGCAACAGCTAACAGCGACAAACCATCAGCGACGACAAACAACGAAAATATGTTGTACTGCGTTCGCGTATCGTGACATAATCCTGCTTGGTGCAATGCCACTTGATGCTAGTACTGATCACCCAGAACTTAAACTGCCTTCCTACTGCAGCCATTCCTATGCACTTGACAAGGACTACCAAACGCGAAGGAAGCACGGCGTCTTGACACGTGTGTGCCCCAATCCTTGGAGTTCTGCAGGCTTTTGTCGGAAACGTCGAAGACATCAGTAAAACATGACAAGCACAGCAGCACAGGGCATGACATGTTTCCCGTGAAACATTTATTGCCCGTCTGCCGGTAGCTCTGGGTCAGTGGTGTGCGCACACTTCTTTCCTTCTATTATTGTAGCAGGACTGAAGAAGGTACCGCCCAAAGTAGTAGCGATGCATCGCCGCTGGAAGAGCACCCGTGACTATCGTGCCATGGTGTATCCAACAACAACTACTAGACTACCCCTTGGTCTCCCTTGCGCGCAAGCAATACGCACGGGCAGATGCGCTTGCTCCACTTTCAACATCGGCAGTTCCCGCTTCCCCCCAACAACCAACGACCCCCTCCTCGCAGGAAACGCCGACTTTCGGTTACATCCACACAGGCGGTACCAAAGGTTGCCGTCGCGGAGTCACGTCGTCAGAACTCCATAGCCATGTACACCAGCCAGGAGATCGGCGCGGCACCGGACACGGTTCCCTTGCCGTTTCCAGACGCCAAGGTTAGACTGTGTAGTGACGCGATCATTCTTCAAACCTTTACGGCGCTCGCGCGGGGGGGGGGGGGGGGGGGGGGGGGGG